ATAGCAAAAAATTTACTAAGTTTGAAAAGAATTATTGTACTACTGAAAAGGAGTGCGCTGCTATCAATCTACGCTATCAAGAAACTGCTTTTTATCTGGATGGTCAGCAAGAATTCTTGATTCAAACTGATCATAATCCTTTCGTCTGGCTACAATCCAACGCCAATGTAACTCTAGATTGATGCGCTGGGCACTCTCATTACAACCTTATAATTAAGGTCTTCACGCAAGGATCTTTTCACAAGAACTAGATGTTCTGAGTAGAATTAAGTAATGTAATAACCTAGTGTATGTAACTACGTTCAGAATTTATTTATTATTTAATGTATGATCAACTGATGTATTTGAACGTTCTCCATTTTTTCTTTTTAAATGTGGTGTAAAAGTATTTGTTTAAAACTTTAACATTTTTGACCTGAAATTTGGAAACTTATGAGAGAAGTTACCTTTTCTCTTTAAGCAAATGAGCAAGCCGAGCTTATTAAACTGTCAAATTTTACAGGACTTTTCCCGGGGAAAAGTCTCTCCGTTGGGGGAGAGGTTGTAACAGCTTTAATATCGTTATTAATCTCTCGTGCATTTGAAATAGATGAATAATAAATAATGTACAGATTACTGGTAATACTGAAATGCAGGCTCGAGAGCTGCATGCATTTTCTCGCACGAAGCATGTAATTATTTTTTAAATAAGTTTATAGAATATGTTTTCTCTTCTTGTTTGTATGTCGCTATTTTTTTAGTGTTAAATAAAAGTTATTGCTGTGTTCCATCATTGGAGTTGCTTGATATCGCCAAAGAAGTATTACACTGCTTTGTCGATTAGCGTTGATAAAGTGCTTGATTTGAAAGCTATGTCAAATTTTTGCATCATTTGCAACAAAATAAATAGAATTGAATGCAATCTTCAGCACGACATATTCAGCACATTATGCGCTTTTTGAATGACGTATTATTACATTACGAAAGCTAAAGTACACGGAGTGTTATGAGGATGGGGATTCTAAGGGGTTTTTAATTGTGAAAGATATACATGGTAAAGATTCAGTCAAGGAACTGGAATGCATTGGGCATGTACAGAAAAAGGTTGGTAGTAGACTACGAAAAGTAAAAAACTCTGCTCTTGAATTGAAAGGAAAAGGTAACTGACTGATTCTTTTATTGATAGACTGCAGAATTAGGGATTGCAATTAGAAGTAATGCTGGAAATTTAACTGAGATGCAGCAGGTTGTACTAGTTGCTTGTTCCATTGTAGCTCTTCTTCGTAGCCAACGCCCTCATCAATCAATGAGTTGGTGCAACTATGAATGTTCATTGCAGAAATCAGGCAAAAACCTCTGGTATATGAATATATATTTTGAATTTGATTAAACCTACATATATGGAGTTGACTACATAAACAAGAGTTATTAAAAAAGTGCATACATGGCAAAACTCAAAATATCAGGGAACGTTTTAATGGCATTTTATTGCAAATTGTTCCGAAAGAAACATTCATAAACTTGCGAACATTAATGTTTGGAGCAAATGTAAGTATTGTGTTATTTAATGATATATTTATAAGTTTGCTTGAAGCATATTCAAGGTTAGGTATGTATTCTGAATTTTACACTGAGCAGGGAGTTCGAAAACTTGATAAAGTGCAAAATCATGACTCTTGGCGGCATTCCACAAGTTTTACAAAAACCCAAAGAAAAATTTACGCTCTGTTCGAAAGAAAAAGTGCAAAGTGTGTGAAGAAACAATAACGTGTCAGTTACAACTCAGGCGAATTTTAATTATCAGAGATGCTTCTTTCACTAAGAAATTGTTTTATGAAAACTTAAACTTGTTTTCTGAAAAATTTTCTGTAAATATTGCCAATAGTAACAGCCATAACTCAAAATTTATCGATAAATTAAATGATGCTTTCTATACATGTTTCATATAATCTGATGCATGCTCTGAAGCGGAAGATTTTAGAAATATTATTAATTAGGTTGAATTGTTACTTTTATTTAGATTTTGAATGCATAATAGGAAATATCCAATAAATACTATACATTTTGACATATCCTCAGAATATATAAATATTTCTTAATTATTTTGCTTCATTGCATACAAAACAAGGTAAATGTAAATCAAATAAAAAAAACTGCATATTTATATCTAAATTTTTCACCGTAGTTTTGCCTAAGGCAAAATTTAAGGAAAAATTATCCTTTTTTTCTATTTTTCAAAATTAAAACTACTCAGCCTACGTTTAAGCTGTTTTCTTAATTAATATGCTATCTTCAATTAATATGTTATAGTAAAATAAAAAACCATTTTTAAAAAATTGGTACCCGAACGAGGTCGGATACCTTAAATAATGAAAAATCTGCATAAATATATGTATTGTATATTTCTCACATTGTGATAAAACAACGGTACATAGAGCCATCGAATTTTGAATGACGTAATATGCGAATTGCAGACATGTGGAAGCCCAAATTTGAAATTTGGAATTTGTTTTATTATCGATTCCATATTTCGTAAAACTTTAACGAATTTTTGAGTAAAAACCTCAACGATTTGAAAGCAAGCAATGGTGATAATCTACGGGTGGGGAAAAACCTTTTTAACTCCAGCGCGCGAAACTGTGTATCGGAAATTTTAAAGATAGGCTCATTTTAAAATTATTTTGCGACATTGCTGTTGAATTGAGATTTATGGTTTAAGTGCGAAGACCATGATATTTAGTAAATAAAGGTAATTCACAAAACGTTAAAAAACGACCCTTTGGACGTAATTTAAAATCTGAAATTTTTCAGATTTTTTTAATGTATTATAGTATGTATTTCTGGTCATTTTATACAATTTTTGGAAATAATAATTTTAAGCAAAGAATTACTGTAGTTCAATAGACAGTTTTAATATATCCTACCATACTTCTATTTCGATTTCCGACAGAAAGGCGTAAATTTATTTCAGTAAAACGAGGTAAAGAATAACCTCAAAAGTTTTGCTATCCTTTCGAAGAGCTGTACATTTTTAATGCTGCGGAATCTGAAGCTTTAAATCAAAAATAAAATAAGCCTGCACGTAAATCCAACTGCCTTCAAATAGTAACACCGTTTTCAAAAAATGATAAATCACATAAAAGTGTTCCTCAATTAGAATTCCATTTTTTAGTTTTTCAAGACGTTTGCCTTTTCCAAGCAAATTATTGAAGCAATTCCTCCCGCTTAACATTCTTAAATTGTCTTAAACTTATGCAGTATAATAATTACATGATTAGTAAAATTATGCAAATATTGTAAATATATTGTAAATATGCTCGCAGCAGAAACATAAATAATATTACTAACGTAAATAATAATATTACTAACGTAAATATGAGCATACTCAGATTAACTACAAATTATGCTAATATATTACAGATATTGAAACTTTTGCAAACATATTACAGTCTTGTCTGTGATAACTTTTTATACAGAACTCATAAAATCATTGTCAGCATTATGAATCTGAAACTGAGAGATTATCATCATAGCCGTGTTTTGCTTCTTATCGGATAAAGTGTAGATGTCTCATGTTCGAAAGCAACTAATTTTTTTATGGCGGAGTGGTGAGGCTTCATAAATTTTCTTTCGTAAATATGAGCATATTTCAGATTAACTACAAAATTACAAAAACATTTGTTTCAGGGGGAAAAAATGAAAATTTAACAAACTTTTGCTCAGTTAAATAATAGTTTGTAAAGTATTTATTTTAACTCTCTAAACGTTATGACCGGCTTTATACGGTCATCAGAAGTTTTACTACTTCGCGCATATTAGCTTATAATTTAAGATATTTTCCCTTCTTACTTTCTTTAGCAATGTCTTTTAATAACATCTTTAATAATCTTAATGACTATAAGTTTACGAAAATGAATACTAAAATAAGTAATTATAGAAAAGCAATTAATAAATGCTGTTTAAATACCGGTCTTCACATGACGGATATAAAATCCTGTGCCGCTGAGAGGGTTAAATAACCAGCTACTTTATATTCCGAATCTATTCTGTCACCTCTCCCTTTCCATTTTCCTGCCCTAATGCAAATTTTAGCTAGCACGTAAGGATTTGAGAGTGATTTAGCTAGAGTGTGTTTCGCCTGTTGAAGGCCCGTTACCAACTGCTATTCCACGATAGCATCGGCTTATTCTACCTTATTAAAGGTTATCTTCGTACCATTATAAGTTTTTTGTTAAATTATAAGTTTAGTCTAGATAGCCTAAACATATTGCATCTCGAATTATCTCTATTCCGAAACAATAAAAATGTTATCCATTTCAAGAAACAGTGAATCCATGTCCGAAGATATATTTCCGTTGAACGTGAATGCTGATATTCTAGCATAACATTTTACAACACATAGCTTTTTATTCGTTATAAAAATGCTCAACAGGACACAATATTAAAAAGTCAATAATTAACCATTATTGGGGTTCTAGTGTAGAAATGGGGTACCCTCTGATTTTGGCACCAAATATCCACGTTGCTGCTAGTTTTCTGACAACCCAGAATCGGATTTGTTTTCCCGAAGTTATGGCAGCCAGTTTGTTGTTACACGTGCCAATGTTTTTCTCAAGCCTAATCTGATTGGAGCTTTTTAGTTTAGTGACCGAGTTCTACGTGATTTGTAAAGAACAAAGGAGGTGAAAAACAAACGAGATGAGTACTTTATTGTTTGTTGTCTTGTCCATATGACATGGAACAATGGTTGTCAGAGCCTAGTCCTAAAAGAGGCTGAACTTTTTCTATTTTCCACCCCCAATTTGGAGGGTTAGCGCCCGCGCCCCGGGGAGGGATCCGGGGGTTGTTTATGTTTTAGTATATAGAACTTAAATTTGTATTTTTAACATATGTTTTCAGCGTTGTTTCGGATGATAGTCGCCTTGGAAACATTGCTTCTTGGCATCAAAAATCACCAAAAATATCAAGAGGCATCGATTTTAAACTTTCACAGATTTTTATTTCATCAATTTGCAGTGAACAAAATAATTCTTTGAAACACTTACTATTCACCATCGCTTCACTTCTGATTTCTGTATTACCGTCTGACACCGTGACAGCATATTTGCCTCTGTCCGATGGCGTCATATGATCTACGCAAAGTTTCAAGGAACCTGTTGTGTCCTGACACATCTGGAATCGTTCCGAAGGTGGGATTTCCTTGCCATCTTTCGTCCTAGAATGCAGTTGCGAAAATATAACCACAGTTGCAAATGATAATTTTTAAGAAATTCAATGCAAGTTTCCATGAAAAGAACAGTTCTAAGGTGATTAATTCACATTAAGCAAAGCTAAAAAAATAGAACACTTAGCAAATTTGGGATACAACGACTCATTTTCACGCAATGTAACTAATGAGTATTCTCGAAAAATAATTTGTCATAAAATGTTTTAGTACATAGAGGTTAAATACGCACTTTGTTACTTACCGATTAATTGCACTGTTGTAGCGCATCGCATCGAATAAAAATTTGCTACGAAGATCTTCATTTATATATTTTCATTTTACCTTCAGATTTTGTCAAAACATAAAGTACAAATATACAGGGTGATTATAATTAAAGTTTAAGTTTCAAAACGCTATAAAAAAAGAACCACTCATGAAAATGACGTCAAATTTGAAAGGAATGTTATTGAAGAAGGCGGAAAGCGTATGGCAAAAGAAAAAATTTAGTTTCAAAAGTTAGCAACAGATGGCGCTGCAAGCGGAAAAAGAGGTAAATTAAAATGTTAGTTTAAATTTCAGTGTTATAAAACCGCCAGCAGGTACCAAGGCTGTTCCTCATTTTTGCGTCTCAGACGTTCGCCATGGGTGTTTGTGCAGGACCGCGCTCTGCTGGTAAAGCTGTATTACAAGAATGATGATTGCAAAAGTAGCTCTGCAAAAATTCAGGACACTGAAGGATATAGAAGAAGGCGTTGGTCCAATGAGTGTCGTGGATCTAAAGAAAATGATGCAAAAATTCGAAACGACAGGTTCGTTTGATGTGTAATCTGGTAGAGGGAGAAAACGAGTGTATTCGACGGTAGTTGAAGAAATGGCCCACAGCATTACAGGAGGGGTTCGGCCGGTGGTGTGCAACAGTGCAATGCACGAGGAATTGCCGGAACATTAGACAGGCCTACGAGCACACGTGCTGAAAATTGTACGAAACATCCTGCAATGCTATCCGTACAAAATTGGCTATGTGCAGGAGTTGCTTCCGTCTGACCTGACAGCTAGGGAGACGTTTGCGTTAGAATTCCTGGCTCGCATGGAAGTGGATAATGAATGGCCGTGGAAAATTTTGTGGACAGATGAAGCCCATTTTTATCTGACACGATACGTGAATACCCAGAATTGTCGAATACGGGCAACAGAAAATCCATTGGCAACGCACCCCGTACCACTTCATTCTGAAAAGGTCACGGTATGGTGTGGCTTTATGGCATCATTCATCCTACAACCATATTTTTTCGAGCAGACGGGTGCTTCCGGTCCTGTTACCGCAACCGTCACTGGTCAGAGGTATGCGTCTCTTTTGCGCAACCACGTGATTCCAGCTCTGCAACAGCATGGATGTGTGGATGAAATCATTTTTATGCAAGATGGCGCTCCTCCGCACATTGCACATCCCGGAAGCAGCTGCTGAGGCGCCATTTCGGAAAGCTCGAATTATCAGCCGTCATTTCCCTACAGCCTGGCCGTCCCGATCACCTGATCTTACTCCGTGTGATTTCTCGCTGTGGGGATATCTGAAGGATGTTGTGTTCCGTGCTCCAATTGCAAATTAGCGGAATTAAAGGCACGCATTTCACAACACATTCTGAACATCACCCCGGAGACACTGCAATCCGTTGTGGAACATGCTGTTTGTCGCTTTCAACTTGTTGCACACAATGGTGGACACCATATTGAACATGTTTTGCGCCAGTCTCGCGACAGTTCCGAACTTCTTTGATGAATGGTTCTTATGCGGTACGTCGCCGCAAAACTCTTGAAACCGATTTGTCCCCTTTCGATGTGATATGTACAGTCATGCAAATAAAATAATTCAACAATTCTAATTTATCAATACGTTTTAATGTGTAACTTACACCTTAGCCGTTGTTTTACGAATCATTTCTCATTTCTCGTCGTGATTCTGTCGCTTACAGCGCCATCTGTTGGCTAAAACTTTCGAAACTAAATTTTTTCTTCTGCCATACGCTTTCCGCCTTCTTCAGATAACATTCCTTTCAAATTTCACATCATTTTCATCAGTGGTTCTTTTTTTATAGCGTTTTAAAATTTAAACTTTAATTATAATCACCCTGTATATCTATTATTTTAAAATAGAAGGCATATAATTATATATTTGTTTCTGTCTTTCCTCATATCAAGATTCAGTTTCCTTAGTAAAATAGCCTCCCAAACACTTTTTTTTTTGTGTAAACTTCATTTATTAAATAACATTTTCTATGCACCTATGCTATATAAAATTCCAGTTGAAAAATCAAAGAGCATAGTTTAGAATTTCCTATAAAAAGTCCTGCGCGTTGGAGATAAAGATTTTTATTCCATGCAGTGTTGCCACTACTCGCTGTCAAATCTTCGAATATGTTAATAAAAAATTCGTTAACATTTTGAAAAATATGGAATATAAAATTGGAGCTTCCAGGTGCACATGTTCAGGGAAAAAACTTATAAGGTATTTCTAACGCCTTCTGAACATGCCTTCGTGGTGTGGTCAACACACTCTGCGCGTATTCGAGAGATCCGAGGTTCGAAATCTCGGCGAAGGCACTGCTCATTTTTCATGTCTCCTTCTTCAAAATAACCTAATGACTCTACAAACTACGTTTAACAATCATTGTTTTCACAGTACAAGGAACATACATGCAGATTCTTTATTATTCAGCTTAGTTAAAAAATACAGTTCAATAATATTTGGTGACAACAATTTGAAAAGCGATACAGCCGTTTATAGTGGATGACGTGAAATCCTGCTTCGAAACTGATAGGCCATCTCGGCTAACGCCGTTTTGGACTAATAATACATGAAATAAATAGTTATTTGCTCAGTTTACAACTAAAGTTCAGCTTCTGTAATCGACAATAATTTCTGGACATTAAATTCATAGCTTTTATATGGTGCATATGACAATCTATCTACCTGTTCTTCCACAATCCCGAAGATAATTTATTAGATGTAGAGCAAACTCGACACATATGCTTATGTCATAACAACCTAGGCTTCTGAGCAGAACAGAATTCTCAGCTAGCCCGATTTATTGATTTTTGTGGGCTACGTACTCTGTCTAATTTTCTCCGCTGTTTCGTCACATTTGGTGGTGTCTAGTGTCACTCAAGCAACTAGTTTTCGTAATCTACCGAATATTATCACAGAATATTCTGGTGGCTTGGCGGAACAGTATTATTGTCCCGATCTGATCAACGTATCTTCTAAATGAGGGTTTCACAATAGCAACGGATAAGAACCCTTCATATTCTAAACCAAAAAACGCTACTCAGATTCTTTCACAGCAGAAACCGCCCAGACGGTATAGTGGTTAGGGGAGCCGACTGCGATACCAAAGGGCTCGGGTTCGAATCCCTGAGAAGGCATGGTTGTAACTGTTCCGTCCCTTCATAGGAGGCAAATATGGTCCAGCTATTAGGTGCCTCCCTAATAAACTGACCACAACTTCTGGCCTTAGTAGTGGCCAAGCCGAAGTCGGATGAGGGCCTGCCATTTGTAAACAAAAAACTTTTTCACAGCAAAGTCTCCCAAAATACCCGAGCAATCACACATCGGTAGATCGTTGAACGACTGCATCCATTTTGTACTTAGTGCATTATTCCTCCCCATCACGTTAATACATGGCTCATTGGTTTCGAGAGTTGTTAATTGACATGTCAATCATTCTTTGGAAGCAATTAAAAGCAGCTCTGTTATTTGAATTCACCTTTCCTCTCATTTGTTTAGCGTCAATGTTTAGCTATTCATGCTCGCAACTGCAATCCTGTCCTAAGGAGAAGCTGGACATAGTAGGTGAAACCGCACAAAGGTCTCCCAAGAGAAAAGTAATCGCTTAACTTAATAAGGTTATTCTTTAAGCTGTAGCATTCTACTTGGCATGGTGGAAGAAATCCATTCCAACAAAAATTCATATATACGAGCATTTAAGAGGTTTGAGAGGAACAGATTTTGGTTTTTATCGAGAGTTAAAGAACTAATATCCCCACTTTTAAGCAGAACTTGTATCTGCTGGACGATGTGTCACAAAACCGTTTGCATGTACCAATTAAAACATTTATATAATATCTTTCATTATATGAATATCAAGAACATGTGCAACCCATAACTTGGAAACTACAGGATTTCATAACCAGATGAATCCTGTTTAAGCCGTTTTGTATTTAATAATTTGTTACAGAAAATTGTACAAAACTTATTTGCCTCGAAGACGTATTCACAGTAGATTAAAGTGTAGACGTATTCATAGTAGATATCTCTGTTACACATAGCTATAACCAACAAGTTTATTACAGGCAGACTATTTTGACTCTAGCAATCTAACTCATTGCGAAATTATATTGAGGCTAGAAATCTAACTCATTATGAAGTTACTGATGCAGATGAAGCTCACACTGACGCTAGCAGTTTAACTTGTAAGGATTATGTTAATTTTATTAACAGTTAAATTTTAAGTTAAAGTTCCTTTCCTGTCAAATTCTTAACTTCAACTCTACTACTTCCGGCCAAGAACGTAGTTTTAGAATCACATCTGAATATATAATGAGGAGGAGCGGTATTTAAACCACGAAGTTACTTACAGACTCGGAGAGAATCAGAGTTTCTGATTTACGCGCGTCTGCCTTTTTGGCCACTCTCTCTCTCAAAGCTGTTATTACGCTCGGCCGTACTCAGGCCCTTCTGAGCTTCGTAGTCAAATAAGTTAAGAGACCAACTCGATTTGAATTTTGATAGCTTCGGCTATATTTCTTTAGTTAATCTTAGTTTTAGTTGAATTCTTAGTCTCTTAAGTTCAAGCTCAAGTGTCGGCTTTGACTGTACTCTCCCAGGCGGAGTTTTGTTAAATCTTATTAGAATAATAAAGGGTTAGTTACCCTTCTATCTTGTTGTTTCTTGTCACACGAACTTATGCGATTATTCATTATCTAGTTCCTAAGACTCGTCACTTTCTACAGTAACTGAGATTTACAGAGTGAAAGTCTTACATTCTCATTACGAAATTACCAAAGTATACTTATGGTAATCGTTAAGATTTAGATAATATAGTTAGTCACTCATGAAATTGAATCAAAATATATATTTAATATATATTTAACGTTTTTATTTTAATTTATTAGTTGGCTTACCATCTGACTGAAACTGGCTTAGGATCAGTTGTCACTTTTGCTTCTAAGGTGCAAGGTTTTCCTTCCGGTACCAACTGAGGCATAAGACTCTGCAGAAATTCGAATACCTTTGTAGGTTTCTTCTCTACTTCTCCTTTCATAATGGGTACGACTAAACGTAAAAGAAAATACATTTATTGGGAATTCCCCTACTGCAACGAAATGGGAAACACGCTTGCATACTTCTTTACTTCTACACTTAAATGTTTGACAAAAACGCTGAATTCTATAATATTTTGTTCCTTAACTGCCCAGAAAAAATTTTAAATTTTTTAAATTGGTTGAAATTCATCAATAAAAAAAGATTTAAATATGTAATAAAGTCGACATTATTAATTCAAAGGAAGAATGCAAGCCGTTTTTGGTTAAATGTATTCATGAAAATCACTTCACGAGAAACATAATTATTGCATAATAGTAATGTCGCGTTTGCTTACTAGAACTTTACTTCCACGAACGCCCTCTGGCGAAAGAGACTAAAAGTAATGAGTTGAACGGCTGACGCGTCTAACAGATGTATAACGATAGACCGTCTCCGTATAAATTATGCTTGTAATCATTATAACTTGTAAATATTTTGTAGATATCTTTCATACGAATTAAAATTTCTTAAAAAGTTTATAGCTGTGTTTCGCAGTGAATCGAAGTTCATCATAGAGATGGATACCTACAAGAAGGAAAAGCAGGCAGTTCAGAGCAGCCCTATTTAGAAGATAAGTGAATTTTCACTTATCTATTTAAGGATCTAAACAATTTTAATAGTACAAAGTGATAAAATTTTAACATGGCGCCCGAACAGGGACTGCCAGTAACTGCTGTTTTCCTAACTATTGAAACTGTCTAAATTGATATCAGTTATATAGATAATACATAAGCATAAATAATTAGTGATTGCTGATAGTTGTTGAATTATTGAATATTAAATAATGACGGAATTCATCGATACATTGAAAAGAAACGCGGCCACATAAGGGCTGCCGTTACAAAATTAATTGGCCGAATCGAAACTGAATTACCAAAAACAGAAGTGAATGCAGAGGAACTAGAAATTTCCTTAGAACTCTTAAATGAAAAATCGAACGAGTTAAAACAAATAGATGCCGATATAGAAAAATTAATAGACATAATTATCTAGACCAGGAATTAAAACGGTGTTGACGAATATCGTGAAGAATAACTACATTTAAATACAAAGCTAACAAAAAACTGAAAGAAATTATATAGAACAACAAAATTTAGTGTGTTAAGAAGCACTGAACAGTTAAGTGAAAGTATTACAGAAAACGTTAAAATCGAAAGTCATAATGTGAAGCTTCCTAAACTTATGATTCCGAAGTTTTATGGAAGAGCTGCGAATGGCTGACATTTTGGAACACTTTTCATCAGCCATACACCAAAAAAAACGCTTGACGCTATAAGCAAATTTAATATTTGAATCCTTTTGGGAGGCACCACCATTGACGGTTTCGATTTAACCGAAGAAAATTACGAAACTTCTGTTAAACTCCTCACAGAAAGATTTGGAAATAAAGATGTACTGATAAACGCCCATATAGATAAATTACTGAAAATAAGACCTCTAAAAGATTGTAATGATATTCAAAATTTCCCTAAGTTATTCCGTAAGTAAAATTTCCGTAAGAATACGTGCTCTAGAACCTATCATGGACTCCAGTGGCCTTATAAAGTGAAGACAGTATCTTTCGAGCCGATGACGCTGACTTTCGTTACCCATTTTACTTCCCTCAGAACATCCTTAGTATTAAAACTGATCAATCTGAACTGAAAGGCTAAGTCACGCTGGAGTACAATTCGTTATTTGCGCTTGCGTGAAAATATTGGATCATAAAGAATAGGAGGACAGTACGCAAGGTTCCAAAACTGTGTACGATGTCGAAGGTTCGACTCTGATTCATATAAGACCCTCAAGCGCCACTACCTGAAGACAGAATAAGAGATGCTTTAATTTTGAGATTATTGGTGTTGATCTGACAGGTCCCTTAATTTTAAAAGGAGGCCAAAACTGTATCGTCATTTTTACTTCGCATATATAGAGCAGTTCACTTAGAGCTATTCTCCTCTCTATCAATGAAAGTTCGCACGCGTTCAGGCGATTCATCGCTCGAAGGCGTAGACCTGTCACTGTATACTCCGACATGGAACAATTTGTGGATCAATAATTTGTTAAGCCATAGATTGGAATTCTATTTAGAAAATGCAACGTTAAGAAATTGAATGGAAATTTATCCCCCCTTCCTCGCCATGGTGGGAGGGTGGTGGGAAGATTAATTGAGTCTAAAGAGAATTCTTCGAAAGGTACTAGGAAATCTTCTCTGAACTACGAAGAATTGTTGACATCATTGTGACTGCGAGAGCATTATGAACACCGTCCTCTCACGTATTTTGTCAGAAGAGTAAAGGATTAAGAGCTCTCACCCAGCAATGTTTCTAACAGAAATTCCAGAGACTTTCCTGAATTAGATCTTTGGATTCTAAATCCATCAATAAAGAAAACCTTTAACAGAGCAAATTGAGAAAGGAATTACGAAAAGATTCGATCAGAATATTTAGGGCAACTAAAACAAGCTCAAAATTCATCCGCGAACCTCTTCTGTGAAAGTTGGTGATCTGGTAATTGTGTCCAACAACGAAAAAAGGATAAACTGGCCCTTAGCTAGAATCCTGGAAATTTTTCCATCCCACGACGGAACATTAGATTAGTGAAATGAAAACTGCACAGGGGAGATTATAAGACCTACTAAGAACCTCATACTCTTGAACTCAACTTTACACCAGTCGGATATACAAGTGAAGTACAGAACTCGAAGTATGACGAACTCAAAAGACTTGAACTACAGGTCAGTGAGGTCCATCTCTGCTGATACTGGACCTCAAGGTGGGAGTCGCGTTTGCTTACTAGACTTTACTTCCACGAACGCCTCTGGCGAAAGAGACTAAAAGTAATCATTGAACGGCTGACGCGTCTAACAGATTATAACGATAGCCCGTCTCCCTAAAGGATGCTTGTAATCATTATACCTTGTAAATATTTTGTAGATTTTCATATGAATTAAATTTCTAAAAAGTTTATAGCGGTGTTGCGCAGTGAATCGAAGTTCATCATAGAGACGGATACCGACAGAAGGAAGAAGGCAGTTCAGGGCAGCCCTATTTAGAAGGTAAGTGAACTTTCACTTATCTATTTAATGATAAAAAAAATTTAATAGTACAAAGTTGATAAAATTTTTAACAAGTAAGACATAAACATTCGATCTTATTCTAATGTACTGTATACTCATGATTTACGTGAGGTTTGAGACATCAGTAATACAAATTTCGAGCATAATTATTCTTATTTCAAGTACTTAACTATTATTTAAAATTAAGTAACACAGCAGGTTTATTTTTGCGTAGATTTTGAACCAAACTTTAGCGGATTCGAGGGCAATCAAATACGGGTTCTTCCTTTTTCAGGAGAAAAAAAAATATTTTGCAAAATGGGAGGAGCGACGACCATATCTATATCAAAAGGAATGGGTGGACAAAAATGAACACCAACATACTGCCCTCTGTCGAGGGAAATAATAACGAAATGTGAAAATAAGAATATAAGAATAAAGGTGAAAATATTAGAAAAAGTATTAGGAAAGACTGGACTAGAATTATGTCATTAAAAAACGTGCGTGTTTCGATATCTAAAGCTACTATACTATTCTGTACATAATACTGTCAATCGAATGGATTGAGCATTGCAATAAAAAATGATTTCTAAAGGTAAAATTTTAGTCATGTTTGATAAAATACTAAAATCTTAAATAAAAACGGTGACTTTTTCCAAAGATATAAATTATTGAAAACATTCCAGTAATTATGCATGATTTTGATGGATATTCCACATAGAATACTTTAATCAAAAATGTGTCAAAGTGGTAGCTCCTTCCGGAGCTCTTCTTGGAAGGGTACTAGGAAAGTTCGAGTCCCAGTTTGAGGAAGAAAGGATATATTATCCTCCTTTTAAAAGAAAATCTAATTTTTATCACTTCCTAATTTTTATTTCTAGAATTTTATTTAGAAAAGTAAATACTTAACCATTGTCAGCTCCATTTATAGAAATAATTCAATGTGTTATAATTGATATTATTCAACAAATATACTCGAAATATAGATATTATTAATTGTATTATAACTATTATCATTCAATAGATATATTCGATATATAGATATGATTCAGTGTATTATAATTTATATTCAATAGATATATTCGATATATGGTTGATTGGTGTCATATCCTTTGAGAAGTCAAATGGATCCATGCATGAAAGTCACAGTTTTTGCCATTTCCACAATCTTTTCACTATAAAGCTGTCCTTTTATTCGATATAAGGATATGATTTTATGTATTCTAACTAATAAAGATATGATTCAATGTGTTATAATTGATGCTATTTAACAGACATATTCCATATATGATTCAATGTACTATAAATGATATTATTAAATACATATATTCAATAAACAAATATGATTCAATATATTAGAATTGCTGTTATTTAATAGATGTATTCTATATATCGATATGATAAAATATATTATAACTGATATCATTTAATAGATATATTCGATAAATAGATATGATTTAATATATTATAATTGTCACAGCAAAATCTATGTTAAGTAAATTGGAAATGTATGTTCGAATTTACACCGCAAAAGACTGCTGTTACCGAAATTTTTTCTAGAATGGAGGGTAACTTATAAGTGAATTTTTCCAAAGATAAAAAATATATTTCATTAGTTATTTAAATAAAAAATATGTGAAAATTTAAAATGAATGCTTTTAAAATTTTCTATCTACCTTATTTTTGAATAGAATACAGAGGTAAAATCTGGAAATGATAAAATTTTAAATTGTTATAAAATTTTTTAAATGAATCCTTTAAACTTCTCTTATCTCTCTACAAATTCTGTATTTTCTTTCGGATGCTTTAAACTACAAGAGATAGGCAATTAATGCGGTGTATATTTAACTTATATGTTAACTACTTTTTAGCAGTAAAACAATGAAGGGGAGGGGGAAACTAAAAATAATCTGTCTAAATTAGAATAGAACAATTGTATTCTGACTGCATGGTTTCGTAAAAACGATTTCCAAGTTTGGTTTAATTGAGTATGGCAAAACACACTACTGCTATCTGCCTAAGGGGAGGGATGCCTTCGTGGAAGAATTTCTAAGCGAAACTGGCTTGTATACACGTTACACACAGGAAAAACCACTAAAACGCCCTTGCAGACAGCTCGTTCGACTGGAATTCAGCCCAAGTCGGAATTACCAGTGTTCAGCAATTCGAACCCTCGGCCGCTGTTGGGCACATGAAAAAGGACTACAATATTTTGCATAAACCTTAAAGCAAGAAACTGATTTCCATAAAATTATAAACTCATAAGCTAAGCATCTTACCGATAACTGGAGCTTCACTCATAGCTTTTCCAGATTTGTTTGAAACTAATGCGGTGTACATTCCAGCATCTTCACATTTGACGTTGTGTATCGTCAAAGTTGCTAATCCCTTCTCATCTATGCTTATTGTACAGTGCTGGCCTTCTAATACATTCTTTCCATTGTGCATCCTGAAAAAAAAAGGGGGTTTCATTTCAGCGATTCTCCCGTTTAGTATAAATATAAGAAAGAAATGAAACAAAAAAATAAATTAAAAAATCATAGAAATTCATAGCGTGAATATGCTGTCGCATCATATATATTTTCTTTTCTTTCAAAGTTAACCTACGTCAGATAAATTGCAAGTGTTGCTCCAAAAGATTGTTGTTACTGTGTATATAAAAAAGTTCAATTTTATATATCTAACAAATAATTGTATTTTAGGGTATATCGTTGGCCCTGTGTCAAAAGCTTCGGAGTTACCTAGGTATAAGGGAACCTGACGCGTTGTTATGTGTAACTGTTGAAAGATTGAGCAATCGTACAGTTTCGTATTTATATTTTATGCAACATAAAAGCCTAAGGTACTTAACTTACTTTCCCATCCAATACGAAAGTCTGCGCAGGTTCAGTGAAACATGAATCAGACATGCTGGCCAAAATGTGAAGGAAGGGATCCCTCTTTGTTTAGTTAGATAATCAACACATACAAAAGTTACGGATATATAAGATAAAAATTAAATAATCGTACTACTTAACGTTACATAGCCACTGTTTACTCGTTTTCTCTAATTAAATTTTATACCGTAGCCACTGTCACCCAGACGGTCTAGTGGTTAGGGCAGCCTACTAGGGTACCGAAGGACCCTGGTTCGAATCCCAGGTAAGACATGGATGTTTGTAAATGTATAGTGTCGGTGCGGCATGGCGTCACTCTAAATATGTGGCGAGCCGAAAGTATTCTCGTGTGGACTGGTGGGTGAGGAGAGAGTTGGGAGCCCCCAAATCCTCCTGGAGTGCTCTTCCTAAAAACTGGGGGTGGAAAATAGAAGTCCAATCTCTCTTCGGAGTAGGCTCTAGCAGCCATTGTCCCATGCAATATGAATAAGATAACAACAACCGTGGCCATCATCCCTCACTTGAGCCAGAATCCCATAACTTTGAAATGGTTCCACGGCGTGATTTTCTGTAGACGACAAGCCCAAATACTGATGCTCATTCTGATGCCCAATAACTTATGCTTCTTTTGATGCCAGGATCATGTACTTTGAAACGAATCCACTACATGGTGTTCCTTCCTTTATAGCAGAAGCTTCCTTTAAAAGGGCTTTTCCTATGTATCTTTCAGCCATATACATTACGAATGTCGCGCATCATGGCCAAAAAACACCCATCACCTTTTTGAAGGATCTCTACCATGCTTCTTCGAGATAACGCGGAAGCATTTGCAGTGCGATACTCTCAGTTTCAAAATTTTTCTTTCTAATTCAAGTAAAGTACTTTATAAAATAAAAAAATGCAATACCTTTGTTACTAAATCGTGCGATAAAATGGTGGGAAAAAGAAACGATTTAAAAAACAATGAATTTTAGTGGTGCCATCTAAAATATAAACTAACTAAAAGCGATAGATCGCATAATATATCCTTAACCCCCCCTTTTTTGTGTGTGTGTTTATGGAAAATGGTTGAGGTTAAATACGTAAATAACAAAAATAAAATCTCATTTACTGGGTATAACTGGAAATACACACTGCGTTTACAGATAAAAGACAACTCACTTATCCGAATTTTAGAACACCAGATACATTGAATATTTCGAATTATACTGCACATTCAAAAATGAGATAAATCATTATCTTTATTTTACAAACTAAACAATAAATTTCTCACCATGCAACTTCGGGCATAGGATATCCGGAAACGACCAATTCCAATTTGCCTTCTTCGCCTTCTACTAATTTTGCAGCTTTCAATTCTTTAACAATTGCAGGTTTCTTACCCGGAACTGCAAATAAAAATAAAAATTACAGCTTGTTAACGAATATAACCAAATATGTTAAACTTTATCAATTAATTACTAATCAGTAGTCTGAAGTACATGTTTATGATACCCTTAAACGGAGAAAATTCTTTCAAAGTAGCTATAACTGTATCTAAATATTTCAGTCTGGAACATTAAAATGAATATAAGAAAAATAACCAAAAGGTAATTAATGGGTTTATTGCCTTATGATCTGTAGTACTAACAAAAGAATAAATTTTTATAACTATGGAACATTGAACATAGATGGGAGCTGATTTCGAATGCTGAATAGCATTAAAAACGTTATATGCATTTTAAAACAATCTTATATAGGTCTTTACCCCTTAATGGAGCTAAACGTTAGTACAATTTTACCCATTAAACAGATTACAAAATAGCACTCATAATGTATATAATTGCTGGCCTTTTGCAGTGTTATCGCTGCCAAGAACACCACATTGTGTTAAGTGCGGCGACGCTCAAGCGTTATTTAAATGTACGAAAGGTGATCCTCTTAAATGTGCAAGCTGTGTATAAGTGTGTCACACTGCAAATTTTCGCGGATGTAAAAAACTCCCTAGACAGAAAGTCGCCTCCCCCAACCACGATCCTACGCAGACAGATTTGTGAAGAATAAGTGTTATTTATTAGTTCTCAACAGCGGAAAAGCACCTTAATCACTTAGCGAAGCTGAATAAGTCCTCATCAAGCTGCAAATGTTCATCCCAATCATCAAAGAAGTTGGCATTCCTCTTGGCTTCAACCAATTAAGCTCAGGAAGTACTCCCCAAAACACGATCCCACGGCTACCAAGCCTGTCCATCGATGAGTACATCAATTCTAGCACTCGCATCCGTTTAATATTTTGGAATGTCAAGGATCCCGACAGCAGAAGCACGAGATGCATCCCGTTTTCACTGACGAATATACAGACATCGGCATCATTACTGAAACTCATGCTCAGTCCTGCAATCGTCTTAATATCCCGAACTATCTCACTTTTCGCTGTGATCGCACCAGCCACCACGAAGGTTGCATCATGATTTATGTTAAATGAAATTACCAATTCTGCATTGTCCAGCAAAGCACGGATTTTAATTGTGAACTTGTGACATGAACTTGCATCTCTCTTTCCATGTATACGGATGTTTATTTCTCTGCATTTTACAATAGTCCGCACATTAATCTAAGTAAGAGCATTTTGAACTCTTTACTCCCACTTAAACTTTTGCTGATGGGGATCTAAGCTAAGGAACTTAGCATGGAGCTCTAGAAACTGTAACGTTAACAGCAAACTCTCACATGAATATATCCCTAATCATCCTGTGGTGATATATACTCACAAACCTTGGATGAATATGCTCACATACCGGACAGACTGAAGCATTCGGATGTCTTGGATATAGCTCTGTCTACCACTACTGTACTTTTTGCTCTTGAGTTTATGCAGGAAATGACTACAGAACGCCTCCCTGTCATCACAATCCTTTAAGGACCTAAGCCTTCTGCTTGCAACTCTTGAAAACTCACAGACTGGGTGTTGTTCGAAAATTTAACGAAGGACTACACTTTAAATTTCCATAAACATAATACTATGAATGGAATAGCATCTGCTGATCCTTACCTTACTTTCAAAATCCAGGATGGCATTTCAAAGCTCAGCAAAATTATTATCAATAAAGACAAAATCTACAGGTTCCCCTAAAATATGCGGCTTCGTAATCGCCGTCGGAAAAATTATCATCTTAGCCCAGGACCCAGCGCTCAAACACAAAGTGACCGTGCTTAACAATGAGATAAAACAGCCTGTTAAACTCCAAAAAGAGGATCTTTGGCGATTTAAAATGTAAAATCTAAATCTTCTGACGGTTTCTTTTGGACTTTAGTTAATAATTTGAAAACCTCTTCCGCAAGCAACTTCCCCCGCACTTCAGAAATCAATTTGCCATGTCCAATCAAGGAAAAGAGGATATTTTTGCCTAGAATCACAATTCACGACCAATTCCCGCCAGTAGACGCTAACTTCGAACTCATGACGCTCTTCCGAGTTCGCGATTGGTTTAACTCCCAGTGTGCATGGAGCCTGATCAATCTAACCACTCTAAGGTATCTGAAATTATCAAAAGACTCAGGAGAGAAAAGGCCTCAGGAGTTAATAGAATACCAAATGATGCCATAAAAAATCTGAACAATCGTCCTCATCGTAAACGCCTGCTCAGCCAAACTCTTATTTTCCGAAGCAAAGGAAGGAAGCAAAGATTACCCTGATATCAAACCCAGGAAAAACAGAACACTCTTAGCTTGATAGATATAGACCGATCAGCCTTCTGCCTGGTTTAGGTAAGGTCTTTGAAAGGATCATACTTAATCGAATGAAACAGAATCTTAACTGCTTCCTGAAAAATTTGGATTTAGGGAGCATCTTTCAACCGTTGTCCGTTTAACTGAATTTGCCGGATTTTCTATTCACTCCAATTTAAAAGTTTCTATACTCACGCTGAACGTGGCAAAAGCTTTCGACCGCTTCTAGTATGAAGGATTCATTTCAAAGCTCATCGATGTGGAGTTTGAACGAGAACGTATTCTGCTGAATTTATCTTTCATCATTAATAGGAATTTCAAGGCTTCTGTGGATGATGTTTTATCTACTCCTACGAATATACAAAGTCGTGTGCTCCAGGGCTCAGTTATTGCTCAGTCGTATGCTCCAGTGCTTTACCTCTTCTGTGTGGCTGACTTCCCGAAAATACAGTGGATGGACAAAAATATGGAAACACCTTGTGAAATGCATGTTTGAAAAGAAAGATTGATTTTAATGAAATATGTAGGTGGCGCTGGCATTTTTGACTACTGACGCCACCTATACAACTTCGTAAATGTGCTAAACAGTTCAGTTGTTGTCGGAATACTGTTATGTGAGGTTGTCACTGCATTATGTCAGAGTTAACAGACTTCGAACGTGGGCAAATTGTTGGAGCACGTATGGTAGGTGCTTCCGTAAGCAAGGTAGACGAGGTGTTTAGTGTTTCAAGAGGTACTGTATCGAAGATTTATTCAGCATATTTGAAAAGCGGAAAAACATCATCTGCTAAATCACAGCGCGGACGAAAGTGTGTCCTGAGTGATCGTGACAGACGATCATTAAGGGCAATTGTAACGAAAAATAAGAAGACCACAGCTGCAAAAGTTACTGCTGAAATGAATGTTGTGTTACCGAACCCTGTGAGTACCAAAAACAATTAGAAGGGAGCTTCATAAACAGGGAATTGCTGGCCGTGCTGCAATTGAGAAGCCACTCATCAGTGATGCTAATGCCCGTAACAGGAAAAGGTGGTATTTAAGTCATAAAGCCTGGACTATAGAGCAGTGGAAGCGAGTAATATGGTCTGACGAGTCTTCTTTCACATTGTTTCCCACTTCTGGCCGAGTTTACGTCTAGAGAACGCCATCTCAAGCCTATAATAGACTTCTTGTTGCCAAGAGTGAAACATGGCGGGGGTTCTGTTATGGTTTGGGCAGCCATATCGTGGTTCTCTGCTAGCCCCATGATAACTGTGTCAGGGCACATGACTGCCAAGAATTATGTGAACATATTGGCCGATCAAGTTCATCCCATGGTACAAACTTTGTTCCCCGATGGTGATGGTGTCTTCCAAGACGACAAAGCCCCTGTTCACACAGCTCACATTGTCCAGGACTGGTTTTCTGAGCACGAGGATGAGTTGTCCCATCTCCCCTGGCCACCACAGTCACCAGACCTGAAATATTATCGAACCTTTGTGGTCTACATTGGAACGGAAAGTGCGTTCTCGTTATCCACCGCCAACATCGTTATCTGAACTTGCCACCGTTTTGCAGGAAGAATGGTATAATATTCCCTTGGCAAACATACAGGAACTATATTTATCCATTCCGAGAAGACTGCAAGCTGTTTTTGGATGCCAACGGGTTTCCTACACCATATTAAGCAAAGAAACATGTTTTTTAAAAGTGTTTCCATATTTTTGTCCAACCCCTGTATATCTAAACAACAACTCAATCCTTGCTTGCTACGCTGATGATACTGCCTTCACAGCACAGCTAATGTAGATTATGGCATCAAAAAGTTACAAAATAACATCCCTTCTATCGAGCAATGGCGTAAATTTTCGAAAATCCCAATTAATGCACAGAAATTCCAACTTCTACTCTTCAGACGGAAAAAGAAACGAATATGCGCATCAAAGACAACTTACACCTATTCAAGGAACCAGTGCTTATTGATTCTCAGGCTAAATATGTTTGTGTCATTATAAATGGCAAGACGTGACTCTTATATATATTAGTCACGTCGAGCACATGAGAAGCAAAGCTCTCAAATTAATGAAATATGTACTCCTCATTATTAAGAAATAATCCAAGCTAGAGCTCTCAAAGGAGAGACTTATCTGTTTCTCTACTAGAAGACTAATCATCACTTTCGCATCCTCTGCGTGGGCTGCTGCTACCGCTTCACATATTAATAAATTCCAGGTAGTAAAAAACAGATTTCTACGCATCATTACTAATGCTAACTTTTCAGTCCGTAACAAACTTCTGCACGATGATCTAAAAATTCACCTCCTGCAAAAGTTCCTACGGATTACACATGGAAAACTCTTCCATAGCGCACAATTCTGTCTGTAAATTCAAAACTCTGTGAACACAAAACTTAGAAAGTCCTCTACGAAGACATCCCTTCCCTTAGGCAGATATCCCCAGTATGCTTTGCCATAATAAACTAAACCAAACCTAACCACTACGAAATACTAAATGAAAAGGATAGATTCCTTTGACGTTTTGCTGCATTCCTAATTTGCGAAACCCAGGACTTCCCCACCTAAGTACTACCTAAGTACTTTGAATATACTATTTTTGAATTTGCAAAGTGCGATGAACTGCAAAATTAAGCGATGATTTTGCAGCCTTCAGCCTGCACTCGGGTGGATGACTGCTCACGTGACTCTCCGTGAACTCCGTCGATTCGTGAATTTTGTCACTTCTGTTACAAAACGTTAATTAGAGCGTGTTCCGCCTGCTGAAGACCACGTTGATAGTTGAATTTCTAAGATAGCGTTACGTTTTTCGCCGCTGATTTTACTTTTTCGAATAGTGATTGTCACGACGATATAGGTATTGACGATATATTGAGCCAACTTGCGCCTTTATCATTTCTGCGTAGCCTCTGGCTAATTTACGACTTGGTTTTAATTTGAATTTGCTATCATTTGGGATTACGCCATAAATGGCTGGTCTGTAAGCACAAGATGCGCTTTCTATTAAATTATTTTGAGATCTGAATAAAAGGATCTTTTATACGCTTCTTAAGTTCTGTTTCATCTTAGGCATAACGGTAAGTTGTTTACACGTCTATTCAGGGATTTGCCACAAGTTACACTTAATTGCAGGCACAGTACCTACGCTGTATAAATGCCATTTTTTCTGGTATAACATTTTGATACTTCCTTTTACACACGCACACATAAAAATTCACGGTGATAAATTCCTCCACATTGTTCCACACTAACTCTGAATTCTTAGATTGTTTCCAGTAGAAATTTAAAACTCCTAATTTATCCACTGAAAGATCTCGCGTCTTAGTCAAGGTTTTATTTAACGCTGTTAGTTTCTCATAAGTTTTTCCGGAAGAGTTAGTCAGGATTACTTACCAGACACTTTGATTAATGCCGATGAGTTATCTTCCCCTTCATCGTTAGTGGCTGTTAGTTTATATTCACCGGCATCTTCAGCCTTTGCTGCTTCGATGCTAAAAATGGCCTTGTTTTCACCTTCTGACAGTTTGATATGCTCCCCGGATTCCAATTTTGTACCATTTCTACCCCTGAAACCGATTAATAAATCAATGAAACATTATATGGCATACAGAAGGCTTTGTGATATTTTTAAGCAAAATGATTTTAATTCATTATAACCTTTTTTCCATTATTCCAGCTCGAATTATTAGAAACACAAAAAAAATATCAATGACTAAAACACTCGCAAGAAGAATATGATCGCACATAAGCAACACACATTATCATCCATACAAATGCACAGAGAGTTTCAGCAAATCGGTTACAAATTTCAGGAGAGATAGAGTACACCTAGACGATGGAAAATCATATAACAATGCGGGGTCGGAAATGCTTTCCTGGTGTGGTAGTGACGACACAAAGCACAAGAAATGAAGGACACGATCAGGGTGAAAAAACATGTTTATTATGCTTAAGGCAGCAGAAACCAAGAACTAAAAACAAAGACAACTATCGTCATCAAAGAAGGTATCCGAAATTAGGACTCTGGACCGTGATGCAGAAACAGTGCGTCATGCAACTTCCATGTGTGATGCACATCTTCCATGTCCCGGAGATGTAAGGTCTGCATCACGGTCCGGGATCGTAATTTCGAATACCTTCTTTGAACACGATTATTGTCAATTTTTTGTAATTAACTCTTCTTAAGTTTATCTTTCTATTCTTGGAGTTAAGCGATTATTCGGTTAGCAGTTCACTAGATTCCTGGACACTTAATTTGACAGAATAAAAGCGAGGAACTCTATAATATTATTAAGAATTATCTCGACATTTATGGGTACGAGTTAACTTCGTTTATCAATACTAAGTTTTATATAACTCACCATTTTTATAATGAAAGAGATGTATAACTTTCAAGGTTAAATTTATGCTAAATGATTCACGATATAGCCAAAGTAGATCATTTGTCTGAATTATATGTTTCCATATTCTATGTGTGAGTTTCTTGTCACGTGGCTCATACCAAAGAACGAAAATTCTGTCTTTGAAAGATCCCGCAATGTTAAATCGCAGGATCTAGAATTTATAATTCTTGAAGGATAATGTTTCAGTCTCTTTTTGTCATCTGTTGATCGGCCAATCCAGTTAAATGGATTTTCATCAAGATAAATTCAAACGTTCTCATAAACGAATGGCATGAAAAAATGTTCATATTTTTTAGGCTACTATGATAATTGTCTGCAACTATGGTAATGGTTTTTGTTCCATAACGCTGAAAATGTTTTTCTCTTACAGTAAATATCTATTTAGCATGGTAAACAAAACCCTTCTACAAGTTTGTAAATTTACAGGTGAATAGTTTTCAAGAACTTATGACTTACCAAACAACAGTTGGCTTGGGATTTCCAGTCACTTTAGCTTCTAGAAGAATGGGACTACCAATAATAACTTCTAAGTCATGTAATTGTTCGACGAAAGGTTTTGCACTTTTGGGTCGAACTAAAAACGGAATGCAAATTTGTTAACATTCGTTGAATAATAATAAAAATAGAGTAATAAATCGGTAAAAGAACAACGAAGTAGGTTTCTAATAACAAATTTGATTTGACACAAAAAGAATAAAAATCGCAAAAAAGACATTGGGGATAGAATAGAATAACCTTTAAAGAATACAAAGATTACCTTCAGACTGAGAAAAACATAAATTAAAACAACAGGATACAGGCCAAACAAGCTCATTATTAAGTAAGAAAACCAATATTTCATACAAAACAAGGCGTTATGCAAAACTATTTTAAGACGTGAGTCCACAAAAGCCCTAATACGAACTTTATTTTTGTCACTGTAGATAGCAGACTTCAATTCCGAAAATATTAAATGAAGAAAAACTCATGCTTTATCAAAAATTCCGAAACTTAACATTTCATATTGTCTTTCGCTCCCTTTATGTTTACGAAAATTGTAAACTCATTATGAAAATAAAACACAAAACGTTTAACTCCAGTATCCCGAAATATTTCGTTTCAAAATTTTGAATATTTGACGTCATTTTGAACTTACGATGGGGGATTGGTTAAGAAATGAATTAGAAAAAAAATTAAGGTTGGTTTTTCTCCTTCACTATTATTCAGTGATATTCATAGAGTGTGTAATATTCTATCATTTATAAAATGACTGGCATTTAAAATACTTTTCACACAAGTAATTTACAAGTTTTTTAACGCTAATAAGTACAATATTGTTAGTGTCGTGAAGTTTTATTTTTATAGAGTCTTAACCTAATAATCCTATTGTAAAATTTTAGCTAAATTAAATTTAACCCTTTGACTAATAACGGGACATATACGTATGTCCCACTAAAAGTTTAAAAATTACTTCTCTGTTAAAACGTACTTCGAATCACCTGAATGTTGGGGATCATCTTCCAACAGTTGGAAAATCAAGACGCCGCTGTGCTGAGTTTCCCAACGTATAATGCTGCGTTACGCACAGGAATGCTTTAATGATATGCACAGAAATGCTATACGATGTAAAATCTATTTCATATAATTAAGTTTTTCAAAATAATAGGTGTGCTTGTAGTAACTCGATCGCTACATGTGGGGCATATATGTATCCCACCATTAACTACGACTGGGACATATGTGTCCCAGCCTTTGGCTTAAAACCTGTTTGCAAAAAAAAAATCCCCAATGCTAAATTTACCTTATTTACGATACATTTTGTTCACTTGGATAGAAAACGGGGTAATTTTTTTAAAGTTCGTAGTCAAAGGGTAAAACTTCTTTACTTGAACCGTGAAGCGACTATTCGCTAAGATGACACCATGAGACCAACGACAACACCATAAGAAGGGTAAAAAGGCCCTTTTATTCAGCTTTAGGAGGATGGTACTTACGTATTAACGCCACTGTACTTACGTTTTAACGCCACCGCAGCAGAAGTTGAGCTGATGCGCCAATAAAGAGCAATACTGTTGTTGTTCCTGTTATTGTTAAATACAATTTTATTGATCCTGATACAGGAGTTCATACACAAACAGCTGAGAGAATGTGAGGCAGTGCCGAATGGAGGAATAAGAGACATAGTGGGACAGCGAGACGTCATTTAAAATTTATTTAGCAGAGTTTGTATGGCGACAGCATCAGGCCAAAGAAAATAGAGACTGTTTTGAATCTGTGCTAAACTCTATATCGGCCCATTATCCACCGAAACCCGATTGACTACTTTAATTTTAAATAAAGTGCTTTGATTTTTGAAAGTGTTTTAATTTTAAATAAAGTGTTTTAATTTATAATTTGTCGCAAAAATTTTAGGTGTAGATTGGCGGCACTTAAAAACCGCCAAATCTGCAGCTGCGGTGGCGTTAATGCGTAAGTACCAGGAGGATTTACAGTCGGCACCCCTTGTGCTTACAGTCTAAGCCAATATGTCTGGCTGCAACTCAAAATAAGATTATCAAATTAAAACTAAATAATCAGCAGACGCTGCACAGAGAGTTAACGCATAGTTGGCTCTTAGTCCTACCACCGACGTAAGTAAACAAGCAATCAGTATGCACGGCCGTAAAATAGCAAGCTTAAATATCAGCGAAACAGCGTGACCGAAAGGCAGGACACGCTCCATCTGAAGTGACTCAGACTCCAGCTTTAGTATCATTTTACCATACTTTGCATAACGCGGGAAACTGAAATCTTACTCTGTCAGGAATGAGAAACGAGGAAAGATAAAAAAGCTATTTAACTGAACAAAACGGGTTAGACTAGAAGAGAAACACGCTAATGTGACAATCAAAATCGTAAAAAAACAACCTTGTATTTAGCGTAGGTATAATGAAACACTCAATCGATTTCGAGGGTCTGTGACTCCTTCTCCTATTTTCTTAGAAATTCTAAACATTTCAATGCGCCATTTTGGATTCAAATTTAGTTGGGCGCCAATGTGATGTAGCCGTTCCTCAATAAACACTAATGCCGGGTAGCTTTAAAAGGATTTATTAACAGAGCACACAGGAACGGTTACAAACAAAAGAAATATACATAAAAATGAAACATATACCAAATGGACCATCAAACATTTGAATAACATAGTAAACTATCATCATGGCGGCTGGAGGTCGACTGACGTTTTTTCATATCGCCACGAGATGGCGTTTAAATAAAATAGTTCGGTTACAGTTCATGATGTGAATAAAATAGTTCAATTACACTTAAATAGGTCTGTTATGTGATGTAGCCGTTCCTCAATAGACACTAATGCCGGCTAGCTTTAAAAGGATTTATTAACAGATCACACAGGAACGGTTACAAATAAAGAAATATACATAAAAATGAAACATATACCAAATGGAACATCAAACAGTTGAATAACAGAGACATAGTAAACTAACATCATGGCGGCTGCAGTTCGACTGACGTTTTTTCATATCGCCACGAGATGGCGTTTAAATAAAATAGTTCGGTTACAGTTCATGAGTTCATGGCGTGAATAAAATAGTTCAATTACACTTAAATAGGTCTGTTACATCCTCCCCCTCTGACTTCGTAGACGTCTCGGCAAGAAGTCAGGAACTGACATTTGTCTACTTTTGCAGCGGGCGGAGAATCAGATGGACGGGCTCCAGTTTGACGAGGAGTAGATTTTGCGTCACCAGCAACTTGTGCAACAGGTGCAGATTCGGATGGTATTACACGTTTCGGGCGTCCTCTTTTCTTTAAGGGAACCACTGGAATTACACGAGCTGAGTTTTGCTTATTTCGATCTTAATATGGTTTCAAGGCTGAAACATGATACTTGCCGAGAATTTTGTCTGGTTCATGAGGATCGGCAATATCATAAGTGGTTGGAGATCTTGTAGTCACTATCACATAAGGACCATCTCTCTTGGGCATGAATTTAGCAGTTTTCTTCAGTGAACCTTTGCTGATTGGGTGGAGGGTGACCCAAACGTTTATCTCCAGGAACGAATTTCGGTGTTTCTCTTCGTTTTTTGTCAGCATATCGTTTCTGCTTATCTTGATGCATTTCGACTCTTTCTCGTACCTGTTGTACATTTCTTGCAAAACGTTTCAAATATGGAGTAATTTCGGGAACAAAATTATCGTTCTCAATTACGGCTTTTATATCATGCTTTACATCATCTAAGGTTCGTAACTCTCGTGCGTGCAAATTGAAGAAAAGAAGCAGAATGTCCAGTTGAATCACATTTGGCTGTATTCAAAGCAAACCTTATTAATGGCAGTTTATCCTTCCATGACTGATGGTCGTTACCAACAAGTATTGCTAAACGTGGTTTCAGATCTCTATTCTTCCTTTCAAGTGGGTTAGATTGTGGGTGATAGACAGGAGTAAGACTTTGATCAATGTTCAAGATATAGCATAGTTGTTGGATAAAAGCACTAGTAAACTGGGTACCATTATCACTTATTATTTTCCTGGGTAACCCAAATCGAAGGGCAACATCCTCCAAAAAAATAGTGGCACATTCTCTGGCCGTGGCTTCCTTTAAAGCAAATAGTTCTGTCCACTTCGTAGCACAGTCCTGCACAATAAAAATCCATTTTTCACCAGACAATGTTTCAGGAAGGGGACCAAAAAGATCAATTGACAAGGTTTCAAAACGTTGAGCATAGACTGGAATTTGAAGTAAGCCAGATGGCTTTAGATTAGTGGTTTCTCCCCCTACTTTGAAGACAGTGTGATATTTGTTAAGCAATGCATCAGTTGCAAGCCGTTGGGCTGTAGTTAATTGTTGTCCTTCATTTTCTCGTAGTCGGCAGTTGTTTACAACAACTGGGGTTTTCTTCCAGTACTTGGGATTGATGAGGTTTCACGAAGCTATATTTTCTTCGAGGTTCATCAGAAAAGTTCCACTTATTTTCAGCAAGATTTAAAACAATTTTAGCTTTTTGAAGAAAGTCAGTTCCTAACAAAGTCGAGTTATTCTTGGCATCAGGCAACACAAGGAGCGGAGTTTTGGTTTGAACTCTCTGCCTTCGAGAAGAATGATTTCTTCGGTGCGAAGTACCTCTTTTTCAGATACCAAACCATCAGCGAAAGACACCTGTAGTGTTGTCTTTTCAAATACTGCATTTTGTTTTTGCAGAATATGATAGAGGGATTCACTTGCAATTGAGTGACTAGCACCACTGTCGGCGAAAGCTGTACCGGAAACACCACCAATACTAATTGGAAATACAGCAGTCCGAGTGTGGAAGATAAACAGGATCGGATTTGGATAGTGCCAAAATTTGATGAATTTGAAGTCTTTGGGGGGTTACAGTCTGGACATTTAGACTTGATAAAACCAGTTTTTTTTCCGCACCCATAGCATGTTAAAGGAGGTCGCGTTTCCTCTGTTTGTTGCTGAACACGATTTGAAAAGGTTTTATGAGTTTCCTGTATGTCACATGTTCGATTTTCTACTTTGTGTTTGGATGGATTAGTCGGTTTGTAAGAATAGTTCCGCCTGCCAGGAAGTTGAGTTTTATAGTTCGTAT